CCCCTATCCCATGAGAAAAACTAATTCTCTGTCTTTTATACTCCATAACTCCTGTTTCATACCTCTATAGTAAACATTGTGGTATTAGCATTTCACAAACTGGTATTAAGGTCCTGTGGTGATACTTGAGGGGAATGGTCATTCTAAATGAAAAACGTGCTCTCCTTAGAGTCATCCAACCCCTACGAGGATTAAGATTTTTGCGAGGCCAATCAGATTGGCCTGGAATTTCCTCTTAAAATAACTAAATCCCAAGTTCTTCCTAGCTCTCCCATGCCAGTAAGCTCCTGGTATGCTGCCCCACTCGCTTACCAGACCTACCTAGTCATGGCTGAACCCCAGCTCTGGCCACAGCAGAGCCTGGTAGGGAAACAGGAAGGAGAACTAGGAGTAGCAAGTGTAGAGAGAAGGGCACGCTGCTCTGGAGGTACCAAGATGACATTGCTATCAGGAGGAGGAGGTGGTTGGTGGACAATTGGAAATGCAGAGCTGCAGCTAGCTCAGTAGAAGGCAGAAAGTTTAGAAGTCTTCAGGCTAGAGACCATAACTAAATCATGAAATGAACGAGCAGTCCTTGGAAGATTACCTATACTTAAGGTAAAAAAGAAAGAAGATGAACCAGACAAGAGTCTTTTTTAAAAATTTTTTTTATTTAAAAAATTAAAAAGAAGAAGAGAACCAGGAAGAACCCCAGCACTCCCCAAGAGAGGAGTTCCCAGTAGCTGGGAGTGGTCATCAAAGTCAGTTGCAACAATGGAGAATGAGAGAGAAACCACTAAATTTGACAACTGGAATTGGGACCAGTGATAAGTTCAGGGGAGAAAAGAGAGTGAAATGAGATTGCAGAGGCTTACAGAGTCAGCAAGTGATTAAGATATGTTCCAGTGAATTTCAGTAATGTGGTAAGGAGAGAGAGGAAACCGTAGTTTGATCTGAAACAATAGCAAAATCAAAAGAAAGACTTCTCTATCATTTCCCCTTCTTTCTTTTCAGGAACCTCCTTTCTTCTCTCTCTCTCCCTCCCTTCCTACCTTCTTTCTCCTCTTCCTTCTTCTTGGTGTGGAGAATATATGAATTCTTCTCTAAATTAAATAATCGTAGGTTGAGGGGAGGAATTCAGGGAAGAGAAACAGAGTAATGATATAAAGAGGCAGTAACTGATAACATAAGGCCGTGAAAGGGGAAAGAGCCGGTGGCCAGAGATCTCAACTTCAGAGAGAAATGAACTTTCAAGAAGGGAGGACCGCTTACATAGAAATGCAGGAATGGAGAGAGAGTGAGAGAGAGGGGGAATAATGAGATGTACACATCATGGTGCTTGGATCCATCTCAGCATGCTGTGTACTCACTTCTAGTGAGTGAAGGTGGTGAGCCCAGGCTGAGATTGTTTGGTCCTGGCACCTGGTGGGTGCTCCGTAAGTGTTTGTCAGAAGAGGAGGGCTTGGCTAAGAATGATAAGAAACCACCCAGCAATAAACAGAAGGTTTGCTTACCAAGAGTGTGGACTCCATTAACTAAAGTTTTCAAGTAGCTTATTATCATAACATTCTCCTGCTAACACAATCTGGAAACATAAGGGGCAGAAACAGCTGAGAAAGTCTCTGCAGGGTTGGGAATTGACTAGGTGCGCTGGTGGTAGGAAAAAGGATAGAGGGTTGACTATGATCACATAGGACACACTTGAAATATGGAGCCAGAAATGTCAAACCATTGTAGAGATGGCCAAACTAATCAGATCAAAGCCTCCAGTATCCTGTGAGAATCTCCATGCTAGTCACATGAATACGACCTATAAATCCCAAATGGGATAGCTGTCCCACCTCCAGAATGTGTCCTGCATCTGAAACACTCTTACCCTTATTCACCCTTCATTTGGCTGACTTCTCCTCATCCTTCACACTTCAGTTTGCTCCAACTTTGGCTGACAAGAGGATCAAGTGAGGCAATAGATGTAACCCACTTAGAACAGTGCCTAACAGAAAGGTTTTACTAACACTCAGTAAATGTCAAGGAAAGAAAAAAAGAAAAAAAAACCCACATAATGATATTACTAAAATGAGGGTTCATTTATAAGACATAAACTCTTACTGCTTGAGGCATTGACCCCTCCTTTTTTTGTCCAGAAATTAGTCAGGAAGCCAATCCTGGGAAGCATCCTCATCTGTGCTTGAGTCACACTCTGTTAAAAAGTACAGAGAAAAAGAAATGGTTGTTTATGAATCATAAAAAGTCAGCTTGTGTGTCACGTTAGGAAACACTCTTATATGTAAAATATTTTGAGGCAAACAAAAAAAAACCCATTGTTTCATGTGTTCTGTGCTAAAGCAGTGACCTGGAGGCACCTGGGTGGTGCAGATGGTTGAGAACCCGACTCTTGGTTGCGGCTTAGGTCATGATCTCAGGGTCATGGGATCGAGCCCTGAGTAGGTCTCTGCGCTCAGCATGGAGTCTGCTTAACACTCTCTCTCTGCCATTCCACACCGCTCTCTCGTGAGCTCTTGCTCTCTCTCTCAAATAAACAATTAAATCTTAAAAAAAAAAGTAAATAAATAAAGCAGTGACCTGAAAGAATGAATGTTGCTTTTTCACATATATAAGTGGATAAGAAGTATTGATGGCCATGGGAAGAATCATACTTACTGTTTTATAAAAATGTTTCCTGATAAATTCTTAGTCCATTGCTGCCATGCTAATCTTTGAGTATGTTTAAGAAAAGAGAGGAAAATAGAAGTCAGTGGATTAATAAACTATCACTTATTAAGTACCCATTATTTACTTTATACAGTGATAAGCACTGTGTAAAGCAGCTATATGAGTTGGTGTAATTTTGATAACACTATGGTAGATATTATTGGATTCATTTTACCTAGGGGGCTTAGAGATGGTACCCTAGATCATTAATCTAAAAATATACAGAGCTAAAATTTAAAGCCAGGTCAAACTAGGCACTTGACTACTATGCCATGTTTCCTACTGGGAATTAATTATGAAGCCATTAGTATTGAGATACTAATTACAAATAATTTTCCAGTTGGAAAAGATGAAATTTCCTTACATCTATATTATATACTTTGAATATTAGTTTAAAAACTTCATCAGATGATAGATACATTATATGAATTATAATGAAGTACATATATTAAGTTTGGCAATGACTGTATAGATTAATAATCACACTTTGGTAGCTAATGTGTTAAAGATTTTATGGATTTTTGATTTTTTCTTTTTTCATTAATAAAGTGGAAATAACCCTCAGGAGAAAAGTTAGATATTAGAGGAACATTTGCAAAAACAAACTGAAGGCCACTTCAATGGTGGCTATTTGCAATGACATTCATTAAGCATTAATTTTTAAAACCTGACGGGATATATTTAAATCATAAATGGGGTACACGCTCCTTTCCTTGTCAAATGATACAGACACGAACAGAAAGCTAATGTCCTCTCTTCCATCCTTCCCCTTTGAGTAAACAATTTTGGTGTGTATCTTACTACATATTTTCTATATTTATATAAAAATATACAAATATATAAAGAATATATCAGGATAAGTTATATTACCAAATGTTTCACCTTATTCGGCTACTGCATTTTTTAATTTATATATTATGCAGATTTTTCTCTAAGACAGTAATTTAAATCTCAGCCAGAGATCCTCAACCCTTGCAGATTAGCTTGAAAGAAAAAATTGTCAGAGCCCCATTCCCAGAGATTCCAGCTTAATTGACCTGGGTGGAGCCTTGGCATCCAGCTCCCCAGTTGACCGATGTGTACCTAGTTAGAACCACTGATTTAAGCAATCCAGACAGGCTGCAAATACCAGCTGCCTGCTTGAATTGTCCTGGTATGCATCCTCCCAGGAAGGCCTTCCATTGAGATTACAGCATCAGTGCTGATTGGGGAAACTCTGGGAGGCTTTTCTTAAATTTAAAGTCTCCTCAAGAAGGTTGGCTATCAGGTAGAAAATTTGTTTAATCTTAAATCATTTTAGGGACACTCACATGACTGCAAGAAATGCTACCAAGGCCAGGAATTCAGAGGCCACATAAATGACAGTCTGCTCTATGAAGCTGGATTTATTCCCAGAGTTGCTAAACTCTGTAGAGATTTGCCCTTGCCTGCAGAAGGAGGTTTCCAGATTCAGCCATCACAGGAAGCCACACCCAGAACTTGTTTCTCCCCTCTGGGAGACGCACCTTAGTGGGTGCAGGAACTTGTTTGGCCTCTCCAGCCTGGTCTGGGAGAGTTTGCAAGCCTCCCAAGCAGATGCATGAGTTTGCCATGGAGAGCTCTTCACTGTTAGTGAAACATTTGTATGATCCTTTAGTTTCCTTCACTTTTCGATACATATATGAGAAACATTTGAGAAAACATAAGATGTACAAAAGAACTGTGGAGGTTTGGGGATAAAACGATTGGCAGCCAGCGATTAATAGGTTTAGATCTGAATTATTGCCATTATTGGTTCTGTCTTTTCCTAATTCCCTTTCCTTTCTCAAAGCACTTAGTTGGTCAGAAGTTTTGAGAGACCAGATGGGTTGCTGGAATTTATTTTGAAGAAAACAATTTTTTTAAAGCCCTGAGTTTTAAGCTAACAGACCATGGCAGGTATATGAACAGAGCACATTGCACTGAGTGAGGGAAGGGCTGGGGGCGGGGGCGGGGGAGGGGGAGGAAAGACCAAAATTGTGGTCTTCTCCATTTCTTTCCCAGTATAAAACGATGATATTAAATGTTTAGATTTGATCCCCTTACCCTCCAAAAACTAACTGCCAAGCCTTTCAAGGCTAGGTAAGTGGCTGGGGTGGGACTATAAAGGCCCCGGACCACCCGGGTATCTCCACCCGACAGACAGGGAGCTGTGTGCCCAGCCGCCGCTGGGAAGCCGGTCTCCTCCAGGCCCCGCCCCTTACGTCACGGGAGGCGGGGCGGCGGGCGATTGGCTGTTCTCGGAAGCACGGCGGCTCCGGAGCCCGGCCGGGAGGGGAGGAGGAGGAGGTCGTGGTTTGGCTCCGGCTCCGGCGGTGGAGTTTGGGGGCCGTCTTCTGAGAATTGATTCCCACTTCCACCCCCCACCCCCGCCTCCGCAAAAGCAAATGGCTGGCGTAGAAGCATAACCCGCCTCCACTCTTCGGATTTGTGCTTGGTTTTTCTTTTGCACCTTGAGAGTGGCGATCGTCATGCTGTGATGTGTGCCGAGGGAAGAATTGGTAAGGGTGAACGTGCGAAACCCTTGGACTGTCTTCTGTTTTACTTCTCACCCTTCTCCTCGCTCCCTTCCCCTCTTCCTCTCCCGCTTCCCCAAAAACTGCTTTCAGGTTTGATGAAGTGCCTCAAAAGTAGATGTTAGGGCTGTTGTTGAATTTGGAGGGGAAAAAAAAGGAGAAACACACCATTTCAGTCACTTGATTTTGATTTCAAAGGAGGAATTATTTTATCTGTTCTTAAAGCTGGGATTTGTGAAAAGATAAATTATGCGCACACACACTTATCACCTCATTGTGAAATGGAACAGTTTAAGGCAATTTTGGCTTTGTCTCAAAGGTAACGAAGAGGATGGGGGTTGAAGTTTTAGCCCAGTAAATAAACCGGGTTTGTTCCTTAGGAAGGAAAAGGTGCTTGTGTTGGAGTTTGCTCAGAAATAGTTTTTAAAGGAGTGGGGCAAAAAAGCCCGCGTTCTTCCCCGTACACACTAACTTTGCAGAACTTAATAGTTTGGAGCATCCTTCCTCTTACATTATAAAACATAGTCATACTTTACTATGTACAGCAGAGAGACATCAGGTTGGTTAGTGAAACCCTCCAGTTTGGAGGGTCGAGCCTGTGAGTTTAACAAGGATATATTTAAACTACCCTTAATTATAAGGGCATGCGAACCCAGCTGTTTAGAATGTTACCTCAATAAGACCACAAAGTTTCTTCCTGCTTCTTTTCCTGCTAGTTCTTTACAAGGAGAAAACAGTTCTATAGTCTGAGAGCAAGCCTCTGACTCTAATTAGCCTTGAAAGATTGATCCACAAGAATAGGGGCGGCTTATCCACCAACTGATTGCTGTATCAGAAAGCTCCAGAGGAGATGGTAATTTTTATACTGGGCTAGGTCAAATTTCTGTGAAGAGTACCATCATAAAAGAAAAAAAGTCTTTGGCTTGTTAAGAGCAGACACGTGACACTGATCCCTGTAACACCTTAAACTCATTCAGTGCCCCAGTGTGAGCCTGCACTCCAAGCTACCCCAGGAGGTAATGTCTGCTCCTTCTAGACTCTTTTCTAGTCTCATTACAAATACATATTACATACCTACATTGAGATAGTTTGTTTTTATCAAAATGAGATCATACTGCATATATTGAAAAACAACTTGGCAACATTCAACAAGTTTTAGGGAGTTTAAAAAATGACACTAACTGCTAATTTAACGCCTGCTAAATTGTATAAAAAAATGGAGAACCTAAGCAGTCTAAAACAGGATTTCATAGGCGCCTGGGTGGCTCAGTTGGTTAAGCGTCTGTCTTTGGCTGAGGTCATGATCCCCGGTGTCCTGGGATCCAGCCCCATGTCAGGCTCCTTGCTCAACTTGGAATCTGCTTCTCCCTCTCCCTTTGTCCCTCCCCCTGCTCTTGCTCTCTCTCTCTAATAAAATCTTTAAAAAAAAAACAACCCAGGATTTCGGGAAGCTTGACCTTTGCATGGCAAGAACCAAATACTTTTTCAATACAATTACTTAGTGAACCTAAATAGAAATAGAGTAGGATATTTTTTATTTTGATATCAGTAAAATGAAGGAAATGACTCCTTGGTTAGACAAACTTCTTCGAATCACTTTTTTAAAATAAGAGGTAAAAAATGTTCATATATTGAAGGCTACAGTACATGTTTTAGTTATTGTCTGATCAGAAGTAGTCTTTTTAATAAAGGAAAATCAAAGAAAATGCTAAAAGCAAGATCACTTGAGGATTCCCAAAACCCAACGCATTGATGAACATAAATTTAATCTCTTGTCAGTGCTTGAAAAAAAAGGAGAATCTGTTCATCAACCCTTGGAGCAATAATGTGCATGCTGGATGCTATCACTATTCTTGGACCATAGTTAGAGCAGCCGAGCAGCTTTCCTTATTTCAGAGGAGGTTTGAAGTGAGCATACGTATTCGCGTAAAGACATTATTCCCTTCCTATTATCTAAGATGGACTTACTTCATTTCAGAAATCATCTTAGCCATAGAAACAACACTTTTCATGGAACTAGTAGTACTATTAGAGTAAGAAGTAACTGGTACTAGTTTCGTAGAAGAGTTGTGGCCTTCATGAAATCTTTATGCTTCTAAATGAAGGGTATATTCATGTAACGATTTGAGGTAATTATATGGGAAAATGTATTAAAACCTGTACATCTTTGCAGGCTTTGACTGGGTCTAGAAATATATACCAAGGAAACCATCTGAATTTTATAGGAAGATTTATAAATATGTTTATTACAGTGTTGTCTGTAATATGGGAAAAAAAAACCAGAATAAAGCCCCCAGTAGCAAAATACTTAAATTAATGTACTATATATCTATATTGATAAAATTCACTTGTGAAAATAGTTTTGAAAAAGTTTCGTGATTTAAAAAATCCTTGCAATGTTTTGAGTGAAAAAGCAAAATTTAACACTAAATTATCTTGAATGTGTAAAATATAATTTTGAAATATAAAATACCACTTTCTCAAATATTAAGCCCTTAGTACATGTCAGGCATTTTTCTAAATTAACAAACCTTGAACAACATTGAACAAGACTGTTGTACTTCCTGTTTGCCTACAAGTTCCTGTTTGTATCAATGGATATATTCACTGACATATACGAAAAAGAAATTGGATTTCTAGGTGGTAGAGTTACAGCTTTTTAAAAATATTTTCCCACATATTCCCAAATCTTCTACAACAACTGTTATTTTATAATCACAAAAATACTGTTTTTGAAAAATATTGCCAAGAAATGCCAAAACTGAAATTAAAACTCTAAGGTCTCCATTTTATATACTGGTAAGCCCTTTCAGAAGATACGATAAAACACAGTGAGACATAAATAGATACCCACATGAAAAATTATGCCCAATGAAAAATAGGCATAAATGGGCAATCACAAAAGAGAAAAATGGGCTTTTTTAAGGTTGGGATGTTTATTTTTTAAGGTTGGATGTTTATTTCCCTGTATTGGGAGAATACTCAGCATAGCAATAAGTTACCACATTTTTACACATCACATTAACTAACATGGAAAGGCAATCAAAATGTGTGAGGTTGTTGGGAAGGAAGACTTTTTCATGATATGGAAAAATCTTTGTGATAGGAGGAATGAAAAGTTATAAATCTTACTTTTGAAAAAAATATCCAATCTATGCACAGAAGCTAATTTATTGGTGGAGAATAAACCACATGTTAATGTTACTTATGTGTGGGTGATGGGGTTCTGGGTGATTTCTGGTTTTTCTCATGGTATTAATCTGTAGTTTCTAAAATTTCGACAGTAAGTATATTTTAGTTATCAGGAAAAACAAGTCACTATCCTAATAAAGCAATTTGTCCTAGAACGAAGAGCACATAGATGATACTCCCTTTCCCTTCTTGCATAAAGCCTCTGTAGTCTCTGTGTGGGTAGTCCCCTGTCAGATGTCATCATTGTTTCTGGATTATATTTGCTGGTGAGAACATTTGGATTATAAGGGAATCCCAAGATAAAACTTATTCTAGTCACATTCACTCTTCTGCCCCCAGCTGTTTTCTAAAATAATAAGCAGTGTTGGACTGATAAAAGCTTTATTCCTTTTCATTTCCTGTTGATCACATCTGCTTGGGGCCCAAGCCACTAGGCTTTAATTACACACTCCCTAATTTCTTTTTCTAAAATCTACTTACTCCATTCAAGGCCTTTCTGAATGAGGAAGAGGAAGGAATATGACTGTATTTAGGTTAGCAAAACAAATTTATAAAATTTCAACTCTTTATATAGGAAAGGTAATAAAATCAGAGTAGCTTCTGAGAAAGAAGGTGAAAATCAGTTTTAAATTATCCAAAAATTTTGGGGTGCCTGGGTGGCTCAGTCAGTTAAGTGCCTGCCTTTGGCTCAGGTGGTGATCCCAGAGTCCCAGGATGGAACCCCATGTCTGTCTGGCTCCCTGCTCAGCAGGGAGTCTGCTTCTCCTTCTGCCCCTCATCCCGCTTGTGCTTGTGTGTGTGCTTGCATGCTCTCTCAGATTTTTAAAAAATTATCCAAAAATGTTGTGACCTCTTTTTCTTCAAGTTATTGTTCTCATAATTAGCACTATTTAAAAACATTCTCATTGCCCTTATAGGCTATAACAATACACTGAAGGTTATAGTTAAAAAATCTTAATTTATAGGGGCACCTGGGTGGCTCAGTCGTTATGCATCTGCCTTCGGCTTAGGTCATGATCCCAGGGTCCTGGGATCGAGCCCCGCATCGGGCTCTCTGTTCAGCGGGGAGTCTCCTTCTCCCTCTCCCACTCTGCCTGCTTGTGTTCCCTCTCTCACTGTCTCTCTCTGTCAAATAAATAAATAAAATCTTTAAAAAAAAAAATCTTAATTTATAAATCCTTTCTTCACTAAAGTCTTTCCTAAAGAGATGTTCTCATATTTTTATCACGAAGATTCTCTCTACTTACCTGTGATGTCCTTCAGCTAACAAATCAACATTTCTGCCTTGCCAGGTTAGAAAAATGCCTGCTTCTGAACTATTAACCATACTTTTAAGGTTCCTAAACCAGGGACTGAGAGAAAAGTGAAATGTTTTCAATAGGGCAATGGAATTTATTTGTTTGTTTGTTTGTTTATTTATTTTAGAGAGTGAGTGAGCACGGGGGTGGGGGGGAGAGAGTTTGGGGGTCGGCAGGGGAATATGCGGAGGGAGAGGGAGAATCTACAACAGCCTCCTGCTGAGTGTGGAGCCAGAAGTGGGGGGGGGGGCTGGATTTCAGAACCCTGAGATCATGACCTGAGCCCAAACCAAGAGTCTGACACTTAACCTACTGAGCCACCCAGGTACCCCAGGAAAATGGAATTTTAATAATTCTTACTCAGAATCCCATATTGTCTTCCTTCTCTCTCAAATTGTAACATGTCATTTAAGCTAACCTAATGCAAAAGAGCGGGTATTGTGGTCCCCAGTGCCCAATTTGTCACTTTTGCTTGCTTGATTTGGGTCATGGTTC